CTAAGGACTTAAGGTTATGTGGCTTAACTTAGGGTTTTATATGAGTGATAAGGTGCAAAATCCCATTCCTTCATCCTAGTGGTTGGATGGGGATGGGCCATTAATTATGTGCATCAAGGATCATGATCTACTCCTAACTTACACACTTCATATAAATACATCATAGGTCCAACCCTAACCCATAATTGAGAAATTTGATTTTGATTATGCAAAAGAGACTAGAGAGATCAAACCATTCGAGCCTCCACACACCACCCATTGAAACTTGAGCTCCTTCATTCCATTGATGATCCTTTGAAGATTTATGGTGTTCCTCCAATTCATACGATCAAGCTTATCTTAAGTTATCGTCAAGGTATTATCTTATTAAGTTTTTCTTCATCAAATTTCATCTTGCTCTTCATTAAAGCTAGCTGGAAATCTGTGTTTACAGTAGTCATAAGCTTCATTAATCTCAAGTTTTATATCATCTTCATGCTACTTCTATATAGTGTGGTCCCTCATTTTAATTATGAGCTTTATGCCTTGATGATCCATTGGTTATGAATTGTTCCTATTGATTTCTTCCTCGCGATTTTTCTAGAATATTTCTAAGACTTGATCTTGAAATTCCAGAGATATTTTATTCCCCTTAGAGCTGTGATATTCATTTGAAGCTCATATTTTTGCATCAAAACTTGTGTTGGTGGACTAGTGGACCACCATACGTAGTGTGGCCATATCTCCTATGGTTTTGATTCAATTTTATCCTAGATTATGGACCTTATGAAGTGTTTCTAAAGGTGCATGAGCTTCCCAATTGGATGAGATCCCCTTGAGATAATTAAACCATTCTTACACTAATCTTTGGGACAAAATTAAGCCCTTAAAAGACCCGATCGTGACCTGGGCACAAAGGGTTCGACCCATTGGCTTCCCACTTAGTTTGGCACTCTAATCTCATTGTTTTATTGTTTACTTTCACTGTAATTGCTGTTGGAGCAGTTGGGTTATCGTAATTTTGTTTATGTGAAGGTTTATGTGAATTGTATGTAACTCAATGTCATCATTTTGAGCTAGTGTGAGTGGCATGTAATTTTCCCCATAAGGGGACTGCTTTAGAGTTGAATTTCAGTGGTTATTAAAGTTTTCTAGTGTTTGTGAGTTTGTTTTAAAAGTGTTGTAATTGTATCCTTTCTTGGTTCAAGCAAGACTATTTGTTGAAAAGTATCAAGTTGCTTTGTTTTTCGGCTTCATTTTAAAGCACCAAAACTTTATAGGGATCCCTAGCACTAGGGATCGAGATCCGAAAATTTAAAAATCGAGATCCCTAAAAGATCCATTCTGAGAACAACAAAATAAAGATCCTACAGAATCAAGATCCTAGAAGGGATTGTCTACCAAAGTAGGAGATCTCGGTAACTTTGATTTGCCTTTCCTAAAGAATAGATCATTGGAAAGGACAGTTGCATCTCTCAGCCCCTTGGAGAGAAAATATAATAGGTGAGCACCATTCTGAGGAGGACAACTAGTGATAGGCATGGAATTCCAAGTGGCGCTGCCCATCTTGCAATATTCCTGGAATCATGTTTGGGAGGTTTGATCTCAGCAATTAAAGAATTTTGTAAGAAATCTACCATATGTTGCACATGGCTTTGGGGTATGAAGGTTTGGCTAGGCCTGGCTGAATATTGGATAGAGAGAGAGGTTGGGGATAAGAGGGAATAAGGTTTCAGAAGGAATAAAACTGGGGTCGAAGAGGAAGGATTTATGGGAGATTGAAGGATAGGAACCTTAGATGTATTAAGGGAATTGTGACGTTTGAGGAGATGGAAATAATTTTGATAAAGGGGTGGGAAAGAACATGATCTTAAATAGGTGAGCAAAGGAAGAAAATTGGTATGGCATTACATGAGGGGAAAGGGATGGGGTCTGCAGCCAGGGAACAAGGTTGAATGGGTGGTGTGGATTAATGGGGGAAGGGTGCACAAAGAAGAACTAGCTGGCCTAATAAATTTGGAGTATTTTCAGCCAGTTTGGGGATGCTGGACAGGGTTGACTAGCTAGGTTTTCTTGGTTAGGAAGTAAGGAATGATGTAGTTAGGGTGGGAACGAGGGTTGAGATGGCGAAAAACGAATGTAGAACTTGAGGGTTTGAACCAGATGGATGAGGCAGGTGTTCCATTTTAGAAGAGAGGAGAAAGGGGGACAAGAGTTGGAAAGTGGACGTTCCCTCCCCTCAAAGGGCTTATTTAAAAAATTTATCCTAATTAAGTCATTCCAGGCTTCAAATTGTGGTCAAGAGCCTACTGATGAAGTTTAGGTTTATTTGGAGCTTTGTTAATTAAAAAGGTATTCGTAGGATGTCATATAACTTTTGATCTTTTTATGAATGTTGATGAAAGGTGTGGCTATGTGGAACTTAAAGTATTAAATTCAAAAAATTTCTCTTACTTTAATTTCAAATACAAGAATTCCACTTACATGGGCAACAATATGTTGTTGTAAAATTAAATTAATGCCCTAGATACAACTTAGAATCTTTATTTTTACTGCCAAGAGAAATAGAAACTATCCAGGAGATTTAAACTAACTTCCACCATAATATTGTACAAAATAAGTTCTTGAGAATTCACCGAAAATAGGAAATAATACTGAAAAATTAATTAAAACTACTGGGAAGACTTACTGGAAGATGCCTGGAGTTATCTTACCAGGACTTTATACACCCGATTCCTTGACCAATGATACACTTTTACTCCTTAAGGTGTTGCTAGAAATTATGAGATAAGAAAGCTTTAAAGGTAATATTTCTTTTTCTAGGGTTTTAGAGAGCTCAAAAATCAACTAGGGTTTCCACAAATCCTATAGGAACATATTAGGGTTGAATATGTAATTTAATATCTCTCTGGGTTAGACTTCTGCCTTCTTTCTTCAAAATATAGCAAGCCTATCTTCTAGGGTTTCATATTGTATCAACCTTGTTTTCATTTCTTTGGGTGGCATGATACAAAATAAGAGGAGAGAGAAAGTGGCATGAAGGAAAGGGGAGAGAGACATGAAGGAAAGAGGAGAGAGACTTGGGAGTGAGACAGAGAGGATCTAGTTTGCCATAATTTGGAATGGGATTCTTTCTAAGTATTACCTTATCCAATTTCTAGCTAGGCCATTAGGATAAATAGGAAATCTGTGGGCTAAGAGAGATTCAACCAGGGCCATCCATCTCACAAATCAGTCATCATGATTTTAGGTGGAAAGATAAGAACTTTATCCCCTTATATTTTGACCCAAGTCCAACTCCTATTTAAAATTGATATATAATTAATCTTATCATAATGTAGATCTCCCATAATCAAAGATAATCTGAATTTTGAATAACTCCCATTAGAATAGGAAACCAAATCCAATTCAAAATTAAATAGATTTCTTATCATTAACCAATTTAAAATTTGAACCAAAAATTAAGAAAGTGGGGTGTGCCTCCCTTTCACCTAAAAAACATGGCGTGGGGCTTTTAATTCCTCAAAACGTTGTATGCCACCTTTTATGCTAAAAAGGTGAAGTTGTGTGCCACCTTTTCTGCTAAAGAGGTGGTGTCCCACTAAGTTGAAAAAAACAAAATTGAATAAATCTTTTTAACGGAGGTGGGGTGTGCCCCCTTTATCCCCAAAAAGTGGTGTACCCATTTTTTTCACAAAAAGTGGTGCGCCCATTTTTTGTTTAAAAAAATAGGGCGTGGTCCTTAGGGAGTCGGGGCTGATCCTTGGTCCCACATGTGTTAGTTGAAGTTTTGAAATTTTCAAAAATACCCTTTTAATGAAACATACAGCAGAAAAAATATTTTAAAATTCTAAAAAATATTTAAAAATCAAAAAAACATTTCAAGCCAAAATAAAACATACTAAGAGTGAATTGGTACCAATGGGTCAAAATTAACGACAATGAGGGCACTCCACTCGCCTTAGAAACCATGATTCAGTACTGTTTTCTTATCTAACCCATCAAAGACCTATGACCATAGTCTCAAAGCAAGGGCTCATGATTAGATTGTCAAAGTTAGATAATAAACAGTGGGATTATGATCTTGAAATGTAGATTTCAGTTCACCCCTTTAAGAGCAAGTCTAGCACTTGTCACCACACTGCAAATGGAGCTCTCTTTATGCACATGTACACGCGTCCTTTTATAGGGCTGCTTCCTAATAATGTGGTTGTAATGTGTATATGCCATGCAGAAGTTTGTTCAGGCTTTGGCCCTTACTCTCACAGGCCTATAACCTTACACAAGAGACCACACAGTTCTCCTGACCTACAATCATGATCCATAGGCATCTCTCCAACCTCAACAAGGGATGACCCACTGCAAATTCTTTTCGGTAGTGCCACATGCCCAGGGCTAAGGATTTTGGACATGACCAAGGCTATAAACCACCCAACCCTTGGTCAGTCAACATACACACTCCCACTGAAATATATATTCTATTATAAATATCATTTTTTACAAGCTCTCCAGACGTTTAAAGGCCACAAAACCCAACAGTTGTTAAGGTTTTAATGAGTACATGAGTATTTGAAAAAATGGGAGGTTGATATTTGCAAATAGAAAATCTCATTTTGGCTACATACTAAAAACAATGAATCAAGGTTCAAGTAAGAGTAGAATTAGGTCATCTAGTGGGAGTTTGTTTGGAAATCCATAGAAGTCATGCAAGGCCTATGGCTAACAGTAGTTGTTATATCTTTGAATGAACATTAAGTTATTAAGTAAACAATATTGGGACTATTATCCAATATACATGGTGGACAAACCAAGACACATGTGGACAATAAGAATCACATTAAACATATGAAGACTTGATAAAAGCCTGATGTGAATATGCTATTTCAGTTCCCAGACATCAGATGTAGATCACCAGAAACAAGGAATTATGCGATTGCAACCCATAAACATAGTAGGCATATATATCACAACATAGATGTGAAATCCATAAAGAAATCATCTTTAATAAAACGCCCTCTAACCTGATGAGTTGAAAGGAAAAAAATATCTGGGTCTTCATAGAAGGCATCATTTGTTCCATTCCCATGATAAACATCGAAGTCGATAATAAATACTTGCTTGAGTCCATGCACACGCTGAGCATGCCGAGCTGCTATGGCAACATTTCCAAAGACACAGAATCCCATTGGGCCTTTTGGAATAGCATGGTGACCTGGAGGCCGAACCAATGCAAAACCAACAGGTATATCTGCTTTCGCTTTTGCTGCTCTTGGCAATTCGCATGAAATTTTTAGCAAACAGGAAAATGCAAGTCACAATAATTTGCTAATTATCCATCATTACACATTACAAGTAAACAAGCAAAAGAGTAAATGAAGCAAAAACTTTAAAGCAAAAGAGTAAATGAAGCAAAAACTTTAAAGCAAAAGAGTAAAACTTTATATGTAAGAAAAGTAAACAAGCAAAAGAGTAAATGAAGCAAAGAGTACCTCCAGAATGCATGCAACATAAATCATATTTGGTGGTCTAGCACTGGCAGCCCATTGTGTACACATGGCCAGATGCCAATTAAACACACTTCACAAGCTTTTGATCCGAAATTTTCAAATCATCTTTGAATCACCTTGCAAACAAATCCAAAACAAAATGCCATACTAAAAACCCAAGATCTGATCATCCATAAATAGCCCATTCATCTCAGGGGTCAATGATTTGGAGCATTTTTTGTGATCAAAATCACTTAATTTTAAATTTAATGAAATTAATCTTGGGGGTAACTACAGATGATCTAAAAGTTTTAAGATAAAAAGCCCCTGCGTGTTTTTCGGGTTACTAACCATTTGTTGACAGTGAACCGCCAAAACAACAAATCCTTATCTTTCATATTAAGCCCAAAATAAGGTGGAAGACTTAAATGTGAAACACATGTTACATTGAAAATCAGCTTGACGTAATGGATAACCAAAACTTACAATAGAATCGATCAGTGTAATTCCTGCACCAGCAGCAACATAGGACTCTTGAAATGTCTGCATGACAAACGTTACATTAAATAGACCGTAGCTGTGCATTCCCCATGAAAAGACTTCAAGGAGAAACAAACAGAAGTCCATTGATCCACACCCAACCCCTCCCCTTACCCCACCCCAAACAGCCGATGTTACAGTTAAGCCAATGAGCTTATATAATCTGTTTCCGTGTCTATGTGCACGAATGTGTGTATGTGCAGATGCAAGTGTGTGTGTGTGCATGTCTTCACACATTTAGAAGAAAAAAAAAGAAAAACCCAAATTTCGTTTGAGACTACTTTTTCCCAAAAGAAAAAAAATAAAAAACCTTGGCTTTATGAAATTCTTTTGATATTTAATTTTCTTTTTTAAAGAGATTTGACAAATCATTATAGACCAGTTTATTTTAATTGTATTGCATATTAAATTCTTTTTGAATTTATTTTGTAACATTTTACTTTTATCACTTTCACTATATGGTGGCTTGGAAATGGGAAATTTGGATGGAATGTATACGGAAATCCAAATCTCTGATTATGGACTTGAGGTTGTGGACATGTATTTTTGTATTAGTTATTCAATATTTGAGTACTTTTTATTACTTTATGGATATTTAATTATCAAATCTATATCTTTTAGACTTTTAATTAGTTTGATCTTATATTATCAAGTGTGTACTAATTAGGGGTACTAATTTATTACAATTGTGAAATGTGATTCAATGTTCTCAATCTATTTTACAGCATCCAGGTGCGCATTTTTGCATATATACATAGTTAAAATAAATAAAATCCTTAGGTGTACATAAATGAAACAAATACATTTCATATATGTTCATTGGGAGAGCACATATATGCATGTATTTTTGTCACGACGCCTCGAACCATTGATGCCCGCCCAGAACCTAGCTGCTCAAACCCGCCCACCGCCCCCCTTCCCCCCCCCCCCCCAACCCTCGACAAAAAAACAACAGAAAAACTGCCTAGGTGCCTCCTGGCATTTTTTTTAACCTCTATCCACATTTCTAAATTTGACAAATGCATTCATGAATTAAAATGAGTACAATACTCAAGAAGACAAGCCACTTTATGCATAGGCCACTTATGAATTACTCCTTATCATCAGTTTTTGCAATAGAAACACAAACTTTTGATTAGGCCATTACATTTTGCAACTTTGCTGGGAAAGGTGCATTTTCAGGAGACATGATGCAAGCCACTCTAACCACAGTCTCTTCACCAATTATTAACATAACATGCCCATATGATCCATTGTAGTGTATCTATCAATATGGCCTTATAATAGCAACTTCTTAGTGAAAATAGGATATTCTTAGTGACAAATGTATGCCAAGCTTGTTGTGTATAAATGTAGATTTGTTAAGTATATTGTGAGACCCTCAGCAAATCCTTGAATCTGTAACTTTTTTTAGTTAATTGTGTCTCAAAACATCCATGATCCTCATGTATTTATATACATTTTAAAGTAAAGCTAATAAATAAATAAAATTATATATATTTTTGGTGGTTTTTGTTGTTTGAACGGTAGCCTTGGGCCTCTAGCCTTTTTTTTTCTTTTCAATGGGCTCCCGGCAAACATGTCCACCTCGTGGACAAGTTTGCCACAGTGAACAAGTTCATCGCAAGTCCTTTGCAAGCTATGAGCTTGCTTTCTTTTATTTATGCGGCCTAGCCACTTTTATATGGATTATTTCTTTCTTTCTTTGGCTAATTTTTCCTCCATTTATTAATATTATTTTGGAGCCTGGCTTTTTCTTTAAAATAGAGCTTGAAGCCATGTCACCTTTATGCGGCACTCTAGTCTTTAATGTTTCACTTAACCTACACGTCTCATGTCCTCTTTTGGACACGTCACTTGAGGGTGATAATTATATACTTTGTTATATTATGTACGTATCTACATATATATATATAAATCGAAAAAGATTTTGTTTGGGCTGATAAAATAGTATGCACCTGAAGGCCCAAATTTTGTCTCGGCCGATCAGATGGCTACGGTTGTGTTTCATCTCAGAATTTTAGGTTCTTTTTAATACAAATCCAAATTATTTGTTATTTTGAGCATTTACTCTTGAAAAATAAGTGAACCTAATAAAATATTAAAAACAAATTTGTAAAAAACAAATTGTTCAAAACACCCTTGAAAGTTCTAGAAGTATTTTGGTCATTTATTTTTATGAATTATCTTTTAATATTTTTATTTGGTGCGCATTAATGAGAAGACTGGATGCTCCGAATTTCAATTGTCTTGGATTTATATAAAAAAGATTAAAATTCAAATACAAAATGTAATTATGACTGTCAGATTGGGCAAGATTCAATCTGGGTCGTTGGGCAAATACTATTAATCAGCCCTTGGGCATGTAAAAGTTAACTCCATATATCTATATATATATATATATATATATATATATATATATGTATGTGTGTGTGTGTGTGTGTGTGTGTGTGTGTGTGTGTGTGTGTATATANATATATATATATATATATATATATATAGTATATATATATATA